AGACTCACAGTGAGATCAAGTGAGCCAGATTATTGGATTATGAGATGAAGTAAGCCAGTTAGGGAGCATCCAGAATGGAGAGAGAGAAAGGGAGATTGTGACTGTCAACTACAGTGCTCAGTATTAAAGGTGAGAGTAGAGAGCACTGCTCTTTCTACTAACCTTCTAAATCTTGGGAACCTTGAGAAGCCACAATCATGGAAAGCCAAGTTTAGAGACCCATACCATTATGAGTGCTACAAGGGCACTCTATTTGCTCTTGAAGACCCCAGCACCCCTGCTTGTTCATGCTTCTTCTTAGCTTGTTTTCTTGGGCATGTTAAACTGGTACGGTACCATAACAAATCATATTTATTAGGTGGCTAAATTGAAAAGCCATAATTTCTTCCATTTCTGGAAGAAGGAAATTCGAGAAGTCGGTAGTATTACTTTCTTCCAAGGCCTTTCTTCTCGGCTTATAACTGGGATCCTCAGGGTTTTAACATATGACACAAGGAGGGGACTGCACTTCATCCCATGTTTGAGCAAACAAGCACAGGCTAAAAGCATGAACAAATGGAAATCCCTAGAAGATGCCTTCATCCAGAATCACAACTGTCTTGCCTATTGTGTTACACACGTCTGAGATGTGCTCCGTGTACTGTCACAGAAGACACCAGATGGCTGTGAAGCCTGGAGCCGTAACCTAATACATTTTCAGAAAATTTTCTTCTAGTGAAATAACTACACATGAAATTGCCAAATGATGAATATTAAAATGAATTTGGGCACAATTAATTAATTTATTCCACAAGTATTCAAGCTTAAATGTGCAAGGCGCCGAGCAAATATAGGAATTGAAATGTAGGAATAAGTAAAACAAAGAAAAAGACCACCAAACACAGAACTCCAATTAACGGCTGTATAAATGATAATTTCAGTATTAGAAATTTAAAATTATTCACTTCCAAGTTGTGCTCAGTTTTGGCCTAAGGGAACCTAATAAATATTTTTTTTCTAATAAAGCAAAAATTAATCTGAATAAAATTCACAGGTGCCATATTTGACATGTGTGCTGATGTATTCTTCTCAAAACAGGCTTCTGAAGACATCCAAATGGCAAGCACAATTTTAATGTCAAAGAAATGATGACGGAGGAGCAGCAGGAAAATTCATATTCAGTCAATTTAATTTAAATGACAACCTGAAGTAGGAAAAAAATAGTTTTAAAAGATCAAATGGAGAAGCCCGTGAAGAATGCTGGTGCTCAGCTGATTGTCAACCTAAAAAGAGTAAGGTGCTCCCAATGGGCGTTGTTTTTTTTTTTAATCACATCTACAAAAACCATTTACATATATCTATAGGAAGAATTTTTGAGGCTCATTAAAAGTTACACAAGATCACTGAAAATTGACACAACTTCAAAGACTAATGATAAATGGGATATGTCCAAATAAAGACACAAAACTAATCGTATGAGTCTGATGTTGGCTTTCTAAATTTGCATAGAAATGGCTTAAATATCTTGAGCATCTAAAGTATTTGGCACACTAATTCCAAAGTGTATATAAAAATGCAAAAGAACTTGAATGAGCAATAACTCAAAGGGAAAAAAGGTAAATTGAAGGATTTAAATGCCATGATTAAATGATATGAGGCCACGATGATTATGATGACACAAACTGAACCAATATTTGTGCCCTGATGTAAGCAAAATGCCTCCAGATAGAGACTTACCCACAGTGAATTAAATTTTTGATAAAGATGATAAGAAAATTCAATATTAGGAAAAGATATTAATAAATACTCTTATAAAAGCAAATTTCAAACTGTGAAAAAAAATCTTGCCCCATTTTACTAGTCTGTTTTCTGCTACTTTAATAAGATGCTTACAGTTGGGTAGTTTATAAAATGATTTGCTGAGGCGTGAAATTTGAAAGGAGAAAAAGTCCAAGCAGCACGGCTCTGGCTTTTCAGTGAGGCCTCTGGATCCACCACATAATGGAAGATGACATCATGAGAGAACACATGCAAAAAGGGAGTGGTCCCAGAGGTCACCCAGAAAGGCAGGAAGCTGGAGGATGGACAGTGTCCAGTGTCGTTCCTTTAGAGCAGCTCCTCTCAGAGGAAATGACTAGAATCTCAGGACAACTGTTTATCACTTCTAAAGGTAGAATCCTCTTCCTAATAGGCTGTCCCTCATGATGTCCCACTGCCCAGTCCCTGGGCTGGTGGTCCTGGGTTCTGTAACAAAGCAGGCTGAGCAAGCCATGGAAAGCAAGCCAGTAAGCAGCACCCCTCCATGGCCTCTGCATCAGCTCCTGCCTCCAGAATCCTATCTTGTTTGAGTTCCTGTTCTGACTTCCTTCAATAATGAACAGCAATGTGGAAGTATAAGTCAAACAAAACCTTTTTCCTCAACTTACTTTTTGGTCAAGGTGTTTCTTTGCTGCAATAGAAACCCTAACGAAGACAGATAACATATCTAACCTAATAACATAAACAAAAACTTATTCATGGTAGATTAGATTGTAAACTTACACATGTGGACTAAAATTAGAACACTTTTAAAAATCGTTATCAGGGAATAATTTTGTTTAGGACCTAGCAATTTCTTAGAGAAAAGATTAATGAAACAAACTGGCTTTCAATAGAGAATCAGAAGTAATAGGGGAACAAATAAAAGATTAGTAAGTAGGGAGGTGGATAATGACTAGAAGTTTGAAAGATGATAGGTGGGTGGATGGATAGATGATAGAAAGACAGACAGACAGATAGACGATAGGAAGAAAGAACAGGAAATCTCTCTCTCATTTCTTTCTCTTGCTCTGTGTATGTATATCTCTCTCTTCTCTCTGCTTTTCTTCATCTCACTCACCTTTCCCATTTTACCTCAGCTTTGTTTTTAAGACCTGTAAATTACTTCATTCATTCAGCAGACAGACCTATCAAGATTTTTAAGGACAATCTGCATTACTTACTAATGGCAAGCTACCTTCACAGTGTCTACTTTCACACACACACACACACACACACACACACACACACACACACACACACACACACAAACATGCAAACACTCATTCTCCCTGCCCTCTCCCCAAGCAAGTTTGCAAAATGAATTACATGAAAGTAAATTTTTTTCTCACTTATCGAAATAATGGCTTAAAAATGAAAAGTTAATTTGCAGAGTGGGAGAATACAGTTGCATATGAAAATATTTCCACAACTCATATTGAAAGCATGACAACTAACACAGGAAATGAAAGGGAGCTTAACACATAACTTTTGCCCATCCCTCACCCCAGTACTAACAGTTGAAAAACAACAAGAAATATATAAAGAGTTCCTCAAGCTCACAGCTGATAACAACCAGCACAAACCTGATCATACCAGTTTTTAGGTAAGGTTTACAAATGTCTAATAAGCATATGATCTCTTGTTAAGAACAATGAAAGAAAACCTTTGACATCCCTTAGAGTACAGCAATAAAATTAAAAAGATGAAGGACTCTGAGCCAGGAGGATGAAAAGCAGAATTGCTGAAGGATGAATGGAAAATATCGCAATCATGATAGAATATTCTTTAGCAATTAATATGAGACAAAATTTCATATTTAGTGTTACCATGGAAAATGAATACGTAGGTTTATATTTATTTTCAATGAACTCCATCGGACATTGTCATTAAACTCATGGCAGCATTGAATTTGAGAATTTTTGCTTTGTGTTGTTGGCTATAGATTTGTTAGCGTCACATAAAACAGTCTAATAAACTAAAATCCCCAGGCTTTGGTGCAATCATATTTGGTCATGTTTCTGCTAGAGAAATGTATACCACATATAGTGTAAGATTTCAAATTCAAGACAAATATCTCCTATAAAGTGAAACAACATGGAATGTTCATGAATCAAAAAGCTAGGGGCTGGAGAGATGACACAGAGGAATGGACACTGGATGCTCTCCCAGAGGACCAGATTCACTCTCCAGCACTCACCACGATGACTCACAGCCATTTCCCGCTCCAGTTCCAGAGGATCCAATACCATCTTCTGGCCTCCAAGGGCACCACATATGCATGCATTCAGGCAAAACACCCATCCACATAAGAAGAAATAAATAAAAAATAAATTTTAAGTAAACGGTTTGCTGGTCACTGAATCGACATGACTCAGAAAATATTGCAGAAATTGTAGCTGTGTGTCAGAATTATCTAAGGGCTCAACTTGTTGAGATTTCAATTCTATCAGCATTGACTCCCATCCCTTCATCATCTGCGTTCATGGAGCACACACACACTTTGGGTACACACTTTGGGTGAAATACTGTGAGAATTCATTCTTACCCTGAAAACAAACATCATGAGCACCAGTCCTTTCACCAAGACAGAATTTACCAAAGAGCCCCAGAGACTGAATTTCAAAATCAAGAAGCTGGCAGATGAATAGAAAAAGGTAAGTATAACTAGTAGTTATAGTTGCTAGGTTTTAGGGCAAGTAACTACATGAGTAGTCAGTATAAGGAGACGTCTCAGCAGGAAAAAGTAGCCTCTGTAAAAGCCTGCCCCCCTGATCTCTATCCCTAGAGTGCATATCAAGTTGGCAAGAGAGAAACAAAAGTTGGCCTCTGGCGTCACGCTTGCTGTAGCATGCCTGCACCTTCTCACACATTGTATCCACACACAAACAACAATGCCCAATAATTTTTAAAAACATTGTATATGCGGTTCTTTCAGACTTTCAAGGAAATGCATTTCCCATGGATATTAGAGCATAAAAGACAGAAATAGTAGAATACTACATTAGTAAAGACCGTTGAGAAGACGGTATCTAAGAAAAAAATCACACATCAACGAAAAACACATGTAACAGTCTAACCAGCACTTAGGCAAACAGCATATGCTCTTTGTTTAAAAGTATAACCCATAAGACCCAAGGAATTTTAAAGCAGTAAGTTTATTTCTAAGGATTACATAATCATTTAACAAATCTTAAAAACAGTCATAAAGTAGTTGTTTAAAATGTTATTTGTTACAATTCAAGAGAAAAAATGCTTCATGAACTAGAGAAGGCTGTTGCTGAAATGGCAAAGATGGTATGATTTCATACATATGCATGAAGAAGCTGTAGATGAGAAAGGATAGAAACCCTGTCACCTAGGAGTGATTAAAAGCATTCAGTCTAGGGACAGCCTGCTGATAAGGCGTTCCTGGCACTGGTACTTTCTATATAGCCTTAGGCAAGTTGAGTAACTGTGTCTCAAACCTTCAAAAGTAAGGCAATGAAGAGAGCTGTCCATACAGTGCAGGATTGTTGTACATTTTAATAGAACTGGAGACAAGTACCCAGCTCTTAGTAAACACTACTAGAATTTACGACGGCAATTATCTTTCTGTGTTTGTGTCAGATTGAGAAGGCTTGAAGAAGACAGGAGACTCTTCCAGTTTGCCACCGATGCCACTGTGGAATTCATGTCCCCGAGTTTCCCTGAGGAAACACTGACATTGCTGTGATTAGCTCTTATTTCGGGTAAACAAGGAGAGAAGCTGACTGCGGTGACGATGATAGGGAAGACACGGGTCCGTCTGCTGCAGATGAATCAGCTTGGGAGGCAACAACTCAAGTAGCTCATAAGAGTGGGATATGTGTCTTATCCAAGAACAAGCCTAAGCACCCTCTGTATGGACACAGAGCCATGGAGAGAAAAATATAAAACATCAGTACATGCTCCTGCCTGGAAAGGGAGAAATATAAATTGCATACACTGTAAAATATTCTGTCCCTTAGTGACAAATCCTAAGTGCTCTGACACCCTCATCACACGCTGTGCCTGAGACCCTGAAAAACTTTATGGCCCCCAATCTTTCCATACCTTGGACTACCGGTCTGTGGTTATTCATTCATGAAAGGATTTTTTGCTGAGAGCCAGTGCCGTGGTGACTCTGTGGAATGAAGAAATAAAAACCCCAGTCCTTAGACCAAAAATGATGTCAGACTGATAACATTTGCAAAATAAGTAAGTACAGGGTACACTGCAATTATAGAAAGACAGGTAGGAAAAATGTGCATTTGGTGGGACGAGCTGATGTACACAGATCGACAGGAAAGATTGTCAGTCTGTACAGAGAAAAATCACAAGGGTGAGATTACCGTATAATGCAGTAGAGTTCACTTACTTACTTGAGAAAGGGGAGGGAAGCTGGGGCATGCAGGTGATTCTGGACACAGGGAGGCAATGATTGTACAGAAAATGATAGGCCCCGGGACCAGAAAATAGCTTGTAAGAGGTTTCCTTTAGGTCTGGTGAGTAGGAAATAGCTTGCAGCAAAGTCTGTACAGGCGGACCTATATTCTCAAGCTTTCTTTCTGATTTATGAGTTTCCTTAGTGAAACTCGGGTCATAAAACACAAAGGGAATCCTCTGCCACTTTGTTGGATACTGTCTGTAAGTGGGTACGGGGCTATAGGGTACCAAGTATCGGCTCAGCTCTGAAGGTCTTAATCTTAAATGATCAGCATGTTGAAGTATATTAACAGTTTGTGGGCTCCATCAGAATTGACAAATGGCCAATTTAAATATCAGCCGGAAAAGATAGTATAGTCCAAAGGAAAAGCAAGTAATCAAGCTCTGTGGTGGTTAATCCTGGCTGCCAAGTTGACTGAATTGAGAGTTGCCTAGAAAATCGGTAATCTAGGCTTGCAAGTATGTGGGTTTGGAGCAGATATTTCCTGAGATTATTGACATATGATTCAAGGAAACAGAGAACATCTGCCCTGAATGTGAATGAAGCCACGTAACAGGCTGAGGTCACGGCTAGGAGGAAAAGTGGAATCTGTGTATCTGTGGGCCCTATTCTGAGGGGCAGCACATGCGTGCAAGAATCTGACAGCAGATTCACCAGCCATTGAGCGTTGACTTACACCAGTGACTCTCCATAGAACTTTCAGGCCTTCAGCCTGGGACAGGAGTTGTAGCACTGGCCCCTCCTAATCTAGAGTTTCCACGTTCTTTTACTTGAGTGACTGGTTTTGTCTGAATCCTGCTACTGTAGCGTTATCCATCCTCTAGTTAGGTCAGCCAAGCTGCTAAACTGCTTTCTGTAGTTACAGAGAATGTTTGGTTCTGTACCTCCAGCGGACTGTCTAACACAGATCCTCAGTGACCAGTGCACTGGAGTGAGGAACTCAGCAGCTAGAACAAAGCTGAGTACATGGAAAGTGGTAGGTGAGAGGTCAGCTGCCTACAGCTGGACCAGACTGTGTTAGGCATTGCTTTTGACTTCCATCCTGCAGAGGAAGATCATATACCTTTTGTGGGTTCTACACAATCACCACAGAGCCTAAATCACCTGCCAACAAACACACAAAATCCCGCCTCTCCTAAACACTAGAAATGTTACGATAAAAGAAACTCTTTTGGACCATTACCATGAAGTTCAATGATACACTGGAGAAAATTATTCTACTTAATTAGTTTTATTCACAGCTAAAGAGAGTTACCAGGCTAGGGAGATGGCTTAGCAGGTAAATGTGCATGCCACACAATCCTTAGGATCCAAGTGTAGCAGGCTTTCGCCTAGGCCACCAACCAGCTCCCAAATCATGACACAGAGACTTAGTATTAGGTTTGGATGATCAGCCCTAGCTTAGTTCTTATGTTAATCTGTTTCTCTTTATCTATGTTTTGCTGCGGGGCTTTTTAACCTTTCTTTCTTTCTGTATATCTTACTTTCCCACTGTCTTTAGGTCTCGCTGGTGGCTGCCTCCTGGCTTCTGGACCTGGTGTGTCCCTCTCTTCTTCCTCATCCTCTCCTCTTTCTTTTCTCTCATTCTTCTTGACCCTAGATTTCTCTATTTATTCTTTCTGCCCGCCAGCCCCGCCTATCCCTCTCTCTGCCTAGCTATTGGATGTTCAGCTCTTTATTAGACCAATTAGGTGCCTTAGGCAGGCAAGGTGAAATAAATGCAGTACATCTTTACATAATCAAACAAATGTAACACATCTTTACCTCATTAACATAGGCAGCATAGACAAATGCAACATACCTTCACATAGTTAAAACAATATTCTACAACATCTGAGTTCAATCCCTGAAACCCCACATAGAAGGATGGATGCAGTTGCATGCATTTGCAATCCCAGCACTCCTACTGCAAGATGAGAAGCAGAGTCAAGAGAATAATAGTCTGGAGGGCACAGTGCATTGGCAGAAATAACAAGAAAGACCCTGTCTCAAAACAAGATGGGAGAGAACAGACTCCCAAAATGTCCCCCAAGCTACACACACACACACACACACACACACACACACACACACACACACACACACACACTAGACTTCTTTGAAAATCAATGATATGTTAATTTTAAAAAGCAACTACAATTGTAAGTCTAGAGAGACGAGCCAGGCAATAAAGTTCCTGCACAGACATGAGGGCCTCAGTTTGATCCCTAGAGCCCATTATACATGCTGGGCTTGGTGACATGAGCCTGTATTCCCAAAACTAGAGGGAGGGGAGCCAGAAGGATCCCGGGAGCTTGCGGGCCAGCTCGTCTAATTTAACTTCATGAGCTCCAGACCAACGAGAAACACTGTCTCAGTGGAAGTGGACAGTATTCCTAAGGCCCTAAGGATGACATCTGTTGTTATCTTCTGGCCTCTATACTCTCAAACAGACATGTAAACATACACCAACACACACACACACACACATACACACACACACACACACACACACACACACACACACACACACACACAACACACACACACACACATTCCCTCACACATTTAAGCAAGCAACAATATTTCTTACAGGGAAATGTATATCTTACGGACTCCAGACCTACCTGGGAGACATGAGATTTTACTGTTCCTTAGAATAATATTACAAACGTTGGCAAGCACTCCAAGCACACATGAGAACTGAGCTTTAGAGACATTATTTTTTTTATCAGAATGAAATGAAGGCACTGGGAACATAGCTGTTTAAAGGCCGTTTCAAAGGAAACACGCCACTTGAGAACTCCAATAGCAAAGAAAACCTGCAGACGTTGCCTGATATCTGAAGTGCCCACATCACTCCTCCCCAACTCCACTAAAATATTTTTTTTTTCCCTCAGAATGAATTTCAGGGTATTTTGAAGTGTCATAGTTGGAGATTTCTAGAATAAGTAAATAAAAACTGGACAACTTGACTCCCAACAACGTGATCTGTAAGCTGGAGGAAAAGCCTAGACTTCCCTTCTTCCTCTTGCTCTCATCCCACTCTGAGTCACCTGCTTACGCATTCCACAGGGTCTGAAGGCCTGCTCCCGGTTCAGGATGGATTCCCTGTTGCATTTCAAATTGAGAACTGTTTAAAAAAATTCTTTACGCATCCTGCTTCTTTCTTTCAGAGGGGATGAATCACACACAATAGCTGATAGCAGTTAATTGTACAATATTTGAACCTCTTCATCTCAAAGGAAGGCAGTGTACTTGGCACAGAGGGTTAGGCAAATAATTGCCTCATCTCCGTGAAAGTCACCTATTGCACTCTGGGAAGTCACCACCCACCACACCATGACAAAAGGTATAATCTTCTTTCCAATTTTTATATCCCTCGCTGGTGAAGAGTAATATTTAAAACAGAGATTTTAGTGAAGGCAGAAATGTTCAACATGCTGAAGTTTCCTGGCACGTGGCTAATTGATGGGCACTGGGGCTTACTCCTCTTCCTTTTCCTGGGGCTCATATTTTAGTAGTCCTGAAAAGCTCCTACCTCTGCAACCATTGCATGTGCACAGCTGAGTTCTGATGGCACAGAGAGCAAACAAACAAGGAGGCAGAGGAGATTTTGTAAGGATGCCGGGTGATTCGGGTATGAGCAGAGTAGCTGAGCCATCCATCCACTACAGAAGTTCCACACAGGAACCTGGGCTCTTGGGAACTGCTGTGGTTTCTCCGAGGCTTCTCAATAACATTAGAAGGGACCTCTGATTTGCACAGTGTAGTGCCTCTTTAGTCCAAAGAATGTCCCAACCCCCCACTATCAAGTTCCCCTCATTTCTTTGGGCCTCACTCTATTCCTCTCTGAAAGTAAAGATTTGCCCTCGCTCACCTTTGTAAAAATATATGTAAAATGGAAAAGAAAATTATTTTCAGATGATTAATCTCTGAGTCAAAACTTGCCTCTCTGGATCATGCAAATATTTCTCTAAAAGCCATAATATATAACTAAGAATCTCAAAAAACAAAAATAATATTAATGAGTTGAACAAGAAATTTGTGTTTCAAAAAAAAATAGAGCATTTAACCAGCAACTCCTGCTAGTTCCAAAAATGAGGCAAACAAAATAAAAGTCTTCAAGTTCTTATAATTAAAAACGGCTTGCATTTAATTACATTCTATCCATGAAAGGAAAGTAATTTTGCATGCCAGGAGTCCACGATGGTTTATTCTTCTGTTAATTACTTCTTAGTTTCCTGATGGAAGAAGCAAATGAATGCTTATGTTCTAAATGTAAAGTGTAATTTTTTTAACAAAATATTTTCTTGAACAAGAATGTGACCTTTGTTCTGGTCACTCCCCATTATAATTATTTATTACAAGTATTAACTCGTAAATGTAGTTGTTGATCCTTGTCTGTCCTCAGCCACAACCAATTCAGACAAACAAAATACATGATCTATATGCTGCCCCCATTTCATGGGTGTGGAGGGGATCTCCTGGAACAAGGGCAACCCACCAGTGGCCACACCTCTTCCTCTGTGTTCCAAATGCTGGGGTTATAGAAGTAGTTTCAATGAGAATGCCCCTCAATGCTCAATATTTGAACCCTTGGTCCCCAGTTGGTCATACTATTTGAGGAAGAAGAGAAACCTTTGGAGATTGAGGAAGCACATGGTGGGGGAGGGTTACTTTGAGTGTTCAGACTTCGACCTCACTTCCTGTGCACACTGTCTGCTCCATAACTGCTGTCGGGGATGTGAGTTCTTATCTTCTTGCTCTGACTCCTGCTGTGGGATGGTTTGTATGTCAAGTGTGTTGCTGATTGGTCAATAAATAAATCATTGATTGGCCAGTGGCCAGGCAGGAAGTATAGGCGGGACAAGGAGGAGAATAAAGATGGGAAGTGGAAGGCTGAGTCAGAGAGACACTACCAGCAACCGCTACAAACAGCATGTGAAGATGCCGGTAAGCCATGAGCCATGTGGCAAGGTATAGATTTGTGGAAATGGATTAATTTAAGCTGTAAGAACAGTTAGCAAGAAGCCTGCCATGGCCATACAGTTTGTAACCAATATAAGTCTCTGTGTTTACTTGGTCGGGTCTGAGCGGCTGTGGGACTGGCAGGTGAGAGAGATTTGTCCTGACTGTGGGCCAGGTAGGAAAACTCTAGCTACAGACTCTTATGTCTGCCCGCTGCCATGCTTCCCCCACCACACTGGACTCCTATCCCTCTGAAACTGTACACCAAATAAACCATTCCTTCCATAAGCTTCCTTGATCATAGTGCTTTATCACAGCAATAGGAAAGTATCGAATATACCAATTCTCTTTTAAAATTTCAACAGTTGACTGTATCCTTAAAAATGTTCTCTCCAACAGTCCATCTCAATATTTCACCTGCATTTTCAAACCAAACACAAGTATAAACTAATTCCAGCTACCAACCCTGAAATGTTTATAATATCATAACCGTATTTTTAAAGTGTATGGTCAATTCCCATTATTCACATTAGTTCTTTTCTGTAAACCATGATCTGGTAGATGATGAATTTGTTCCTCCTAGAAGTAGGTTTAGGTACCTTGGAGCCTGCAGAAACAACTCGTATTTTGGTCAATCAATACATAACTTTGTGCTGTGTGGTTCTATTTAACGACCCTGTGTTCCGTATGATTGCGGACTTCAGCAATGAAATAAATGAAAACCAGTCAGCAGCACCACAAACGAGGCCTGACTGGGAATTAACTAATAGCCATGCCTCCCTCCTACAGCCTCCCTGTGTTTAGGAATACTGCACAACACTTCAGCACTACGTTGAGAGGCTCAAGAGCAAACTGTCAGGGCTGCTTAGTTAGCTCACCCAATAAAGGTCTTGCCATCCAAGCCTGAGGACTAGAGTTTGATACACACCAGGACCCACAGAAGAGCTGTGTAAACGTGATGACCTACCTGTAATCCCAGCACAAGGGAGTCTGAGACAGGGAATCCCTGGAGCAAGCTAGCCAGACTAATCAGAGCAGACACAATGACATTTGTTGACAGTACAATAATTAAAACAAGTTCCCTTTTAAAGCTTTGCCCTGACTCCAGCCTATAGAGCAAACATCAGGCCACTGAATATTTCTGCCACTGTGTACATACATGTGCTTAGGAACAATGCCTAAGACATACTGTGAGTGAGTATTAATTATGTGATTACAAACTGACTAGTGCTAAAACCCTAAAACAGATTTTTCAAATTATAAGAATCAACAGTAGTAATACAATCATATAGCATTTCTACCACTATCCTATATGCTGCAAAAACAAGAATCATTTTTAGTAATGGGTACTATGTCCCTCGTACCCAAATACTCCCTCTCTCAATTTTTTTCTCTCAATTTTTTTTTTTTTTTTGGTTTTTTGAGACAGGGTTTCTCTGTGTAGCTTTGCGCCTTTCCTGGAACTCACTTGGTAGTCCAGGCTGGCCTCGAACTCACAGAGATCCAACTGGCTCTGCCTCCCGAGTGCTGGGATTAAAGGCGTGCGCCACCACCGCCCGGCTTCTCTCAATTTTTTGTGTCCCCTATATATATATATACACACATATATATACATATATATATACACATATGCTATGTACTCTGTGTATACATAGCATATAGAGAGTATATAACATGGTGTATATATGGTTACACAAATGATATAGATACAGTTAGATAAATAAATAGATGATATATAGATACAGATAGATGATAGATAGATAGATAGATAGATAGATAGATAGATTTTTATTAATGAAACACCACTTGAAGAGTGGCTCCCATCTTGAAAACCTCTAAGTTATTTTTCATTCACTTCAAGTAGTTGGTGTTTTGATTTAAATACTTCTGGCAATCCTTGGCAACTAGACAATATAGCAAAACCTAAGAGACGAGTGAGTCAGGCAAGATATGAGGGGCTAATATGGAGACCAGTGTCTGAATAAAGAAAAGAAAAGAATAAAGTAGTTAAAAATGCTACATTTCCCTCTAGTGAAATGGTTTTCAAGCTTCCTAATGCTGTGGTCCTTTAATACAGTTTCTTATGTCGTGATGATCCCTGACCACAAAATTATCTTGTTGCTACTTCATAACTGCAATTTTGTTGTTATGAATCATACTGCAAATATCTGATATGCAGGATATCTTATATGTGACCCCAAAGGGGTCTTGACCCACAGGTTGTGAAACACTTATCTAGAGACAGCCTGAGAACATATGATTGCTTTTTTTTAACCTCAAGTTAATGCAAACAGCTTTGAATATGGCATCTCTCAAACAATCCTCCCAAACCATCCCAACTATCTGCTTCAGAAACCAGTGAACACAGAGCCCTTTTCAACCATAAATTTGATAACCTGTTGTTACTACAAGGTTATTTTGACTTTACTGCTTAAGAATTAGTCAGATTTCTTTGAGTGCCACTTGTGGCTGACCCTAATTTACCAAGCCCAGTTTCTTTGTTGTAGGCCCCTCCCTTACTTTCAATTCCCCATGCTCGCCATGTTCTTTTCTATTCCCATGCTCTTGCAAACAAGCTGTCTTCCCATGGGCATTGTTCTGGCTTTCTTGAGCAGATTAATTTCTTATTTGTCTATCAAGACTGCTCAAGCATCACCTCTAACTTCTAGTCCTGCCTCCAATATCCCTGGAGTTAATTTTGCTTGCGTGTCTCCATGGCACACTGAACAACATCCTCTCACTGTTCAGTCATAAGTTGCTCCTCTGGGGATGGGATCCTGTTTACTTGTCTTCACATACCCAGTATATAGCATGGGTTCTGTTGTGCAGTGAAAGATTGGTTTTGCCTGCATATAAATGTTATTTCCTTTAGTGCCTCTGATGAAGTCATTAAATGAACCAATCAATAAATTAATGAACCCATTAAAACACAACATAAAGATCTGAAGCAAACTGAAAGTATATTTCTAGCAAAATGAACATGTACATGGAATTAGGAAAGGTTGATAAGCCTATTTATTTTTTGTTTGGGGGATCTACATGACCTAGACTCTGTAATGGCATGACTCCCTGAACTTGCTATTAAAATGTCTTAATCACTGTTCATTCTACATACTGCCCGCTTTGCAAACACTTCAAAGGGAAGTTATTCACTCTAAATAAAAGAACAGGATTAAGCCAACTGCTGTGTGTTCTGGAAGGCACATGCAGTTCTTTTCCTGCTAATCAGGAATAATTATTTGTAAAGAACCTGGTGTCTGATAATCATATTAAGGC